ACATAACTTTTCATTATGTGAGCCAAATACGTGTATGTGTGAATGTGTGTGTGTCGCTGCATACGTATGTATGTAGGAGTATGTGTGAAGGTGCACAACTACTATAGCTATAAGCTACAGTGCTGATTACAAAAGACGTGTTGAATGGGGTTAGGGGCAAATAAGTTATATGAAGAATTAAAGAGACTGCACAGTCTGCACTGTAAAGCAAAAAGGACCTTTCTAAGCTTTCGTCCCCATTTGATACGAAATCCGGCAACCTTTATACCTATCGAAAGCCTAAGTCACATTTATATGAGAATTATCTTATTATATCTTGCATTACGTTCTGGAGCCAAGTTAAAACTCTGGGTGGGATTTTGGAGTTTTCCGTTAAATTAGACTTCAGTTTCTTGGATTAGAGCCATATTTGTACACAATTAACATTCATCGTTTATTTAAAAATTGTTACAATTCGGTCAGCTCCAAAAATGTATTAACGCAGCAATTCTACTGCGGTACTACGCCCACAAACTGCGGCCTCATAACCCTTAGACCGTTTAATTGTTCTAAAGGAGTTATTTCCTGTAATAACCTCTTTTCACCACAAGAAAAATGATCAAAACGGAAAGTGAACAAGAAATGTTATGAAGTGGTCCAAATCGGCCTAATCATCCTCCTTCCCAAAACTTCGTTGGCTACCAAACAAAAACAAAATAGCATCCGCCCAGCGTGTCCTACATTTATGAAGTTCAAAGAAATTCATGTTTTTTAAATCAAGGTTCTTCTCTTAAGATCAAAAAGAAACTTAGAGGATTACAGTGCGCCAAACGATGATCAGGGACCGCAAATAATGATTAATTTTTTTTTAACGACAAAATCATTCAGTTATAGTAACTTTGAGAAAGCGAGGAATTTACCGATATTCTTTTTTTTAAGGATTTTCAGTTTCACCATGGTTTAAAAATTGTAATTTTTACTCATTCTCTCTCTCGTTTTATGATTACTTTTGAGTTTTACTTTACAACTTAACTATTAATCTTTTTTTTGGGCAACAAAACAAAACTAATAAAATAATCATTATTCTTTGAGTTTTCTTTTTTTGATCAAAAAATAAAAATTTAGCTTTAATTTTGCCTGAGCCCAAAAATAATGATTATTAGTTAAGTCGTAAAGAGAAACTCAAAATTAATCATTCTACACCTAATTCTGTTTTTACACGGTTTGAAAAATACAAATTTTGTGTCTTGTAACACGACTTTATTCCATTTAGCACGATTCAAAATAACACTAAATAAATAAATAAAAACACACACAACTTGCAAACAGTTAGAAACTATTCTTATATGGCTCGTTATGCACATTATTTATGTGACTTAATAAAATAAGCACTGATTTTGATTAGGTTTTAGATATAAGGAACCAAACACCTATTCTTGCTTTCGATCAATGTCTTTTTTTACACAACTTTTTCTGGAACTAATCCTCCGTGTGAAAACAGAATTAGGTGTATTGTGAGCGAATGAATAAAATTAAAAAACAATCATTATTACAGTCCCTGATTAAATGAAAATGTAAATACTGATCCATTGTTGTAAATTCAAACTAAACACAGAAAAGATGCCCAAAATGGCTCTACAGTTTTTAAAATAGCCCCCCAAAGTACAACGCTTTTGAGAAAAAAACAAAACGAAATATCTGAAATGTTTCTAAAAATTAGAAAATATTTTTGTAAAGTACCAATCTTTTTTGCTTACACTATTGGGATGTGGGGTTTTTTACGCCCCAAGTATATATATATTTTTTTGGATTGTCGCCCATTTAAGTCACTAAGGAAATTTGTATTATTTTCTAAATTTTCTTAAAAAAAGGTAAAGTATTGAAATATTTTGAAAATTTGGTAAAGTTACTTATGGTGAGTAAGTATAAGACTTTGTATTTGAGAGTAATATTTCTGATTCATATGATTTGTCATAAGTTTTTATATATTCATAGATATAATGGAACGACCTGGAGGAAATTCGATTCCGCTTGAAAAACATGGTTTGTTTCTGGTAGCATGGCATGGGATCAGAAATAGAATGTTCTGACCAGGCAGTCAGACCAACAGCTGACTACAAAAGTGGGTAATGATTTATGCGTCTGTGCGGCGCATAACACAATATTGATCCAATACAATTTTATATGTAAATTTTGTCCGAAGATTAAATATATATGCATGCATACATACACAAACACACACATACACGTATATCTAAATACATACGAGTATGTATGCATATATACATATATATGCCTATATAGGAGTACATGACAGGACCTTGAGAGTCAAACGCAAAATCAAACAATGACACAGACGCCCACAAACATCTGCCACCTCTGCACCGCACCGCACCGCACCGCACCACACCAAGCCACCCACCCACCAAAAACTCGGCCCGACGCATCCCACATCCCCAGCTAGCAGCAAGAGCGACACAGTCGCCACAGTCCAGCGCTTTGCTTCCGTTTGAATAAAACGCATTTTTCAAACAAAGTTAAAAATGCCAATGTCTGTGTGTGTGCGTACATTATTCATGAACACACACATATATGTATATACAGTATTATATATATTTGTAGATACATATATGCTCATGTATTTATGTGTGTGTGTGTGTGTGTGTGTGTCTTGTGTACATATGCGAGATGTGGTACATGTGCGATTATTTGGGGCGGCTGGGCAGTTGAAAGGCATTGACTCCCATCCTATTCCAACCCTATGCCAATATTGAAACTTTCAACTACACACACGCACGCTCACACACACAAATTCCCTGACAGTTTTAAACTTACGCTCTTTTAGTAGAACTATATGTACAGACATACTATATACAGTGTGGCCTCCCAAACTGAAATTTACGAAACAGCCACACATTTCTCAATAATATTTTATATTCATAAAATGAGAAGACCATGAAGAATGAATATCTGAATAAAATTGGCCTGTGCATACATATATGTATATCTAATTAATAAAACATACATATACATACATATGTATGATATGTATAATTTGAAGTAATGCTTTTTATCGGCTCCAATTTGAAAATAAGTTCAGACTTTAACTCTATTTCTCGAAAGGAAATTCTAATTTGGCTTAGGGACGCTTGCCTGTATTTAGGTTTGTAATTGTGTATGCACATATCAGCAAGTGTCTGTGTGCATGTGTGTGTGTGTGTGTGTGTGTTGGACCACTTTCACTTTTCACATAACACAGCACAACTCATACACAAACAAACATTTTTATCCAAAGTGAGAGCGGGAGAAAGGAACGCATGCATAACCATAAGTCCAACAGTCCGTTTGATTTTAGCCCATTGTGGCGCACCGTGGTCCAAATTTAAAATGCTTGGTTCGTCATGAATGTTTATAAAAGGAAGGATAACAACTCGCCATGAACTAACGCCCAAAAGATGATTTTGGTTATTATAGTTTGTGGCTTGGATTTTATGTGCAAAAATAAATAAGCTCAAGTACTTCATATTTTATTTAATACATACTCATATATTTATTACTTTAATCTGGCCATAAACTTAAGAATTATAATCAAACGATCATGGCTCGATCGAAATAATATACCAGCTCAATGAAATTTTATGAAAAGAAAGTGACAAACAATACTTACAACATCATTAAATTATGATATTTAATTGTATGTTGTTGCTTTGAAACGCAAACCAATGTACTTCAAAATGAGCCATTTTCATCAAAAGCATTTGTTTAAGAAACATTGTTAGAAAGTGCTTACGATTCTCTTTTACTTAAAAAGTTTTTCATCCACATCATCAGAACTATTCCATTTTACACATTTGAAAAGGTGTTGGCATTTCTGATTCTAGTTCCACTGCAGAATTAAAATTTGGAATTTCAGAAAGTGCTATGGTCCAAAAATAGATCCACCATTCGCTTTTGAGCAACGGCCCTCTATAAAGTTCATAGCCTACTTTAGAGCGTCGAGCACACTGTGCGCTGTGCTGGCCTCATGGTCGACACGATAAAAAAGCTTAGGCTTATGCTGTGCACATTTTAAGCTGCCCGCCCACTGCTGAATAACAGCTACACACACTCACACACACACTCACACACACACCCGCACATGTACATACAAGTACATGCCCATCTACATACCAAGTAAGGCAGAAAGTCTAGGATAAGGTATGTGTAGTTTAGGGTGTTATTTGCTGCCACACACATGTGTGCACCACTTGTTCATGCGTATGCGTGTGTTTGTGCGAAGGGGGTAGTGGAAAAGTGGCAGTTGTGAGCAGAACAACACACACACACACATAAATAAGCACATGTGACCATCAACGCGTGGCTGCTGTCCAGCGTAGACTGTGTGCTTCACAATTCGTTTTGATTTTGCATAGACTTTTGAAAATTTATGCGCTGCGCTCTTTGAAATGTTACGCACGTGTCCGTGTGAATGCGCGTAAGTACGTTTTCTTTTTTTTAAACTTAAACAGTCGAACAACTTAAAGTAAAGTTGCTCCAATTGACTTTATGTGGGAAAAACTGCCCCTGTGCGCGCTGACATAACTAAATGAAAGAAATGTCTTAAATGTTAAATGTGATCTGTGGTCATCTTTTAATTTTATAAACTATACAATTAGAATTCTTTGAAACACTGACATTTTAATACAATTCATTAATTAATAAAAGACTTGATGTCTTATTTTATTCAGCCAAACAAACACCACTGTACCACCAATAAGCGCTAAATGATAAACTACTAAGATCGCGCTTGTTACCAATCGAAACAAAACATTTGAAATTAACGCTTTCGTGCTGTAGCAGTCAGCTTTTGTGTTAGTCCAGCTTACCGGCCTTGCCACGCAATGGTAGTGCTGCCATTCAATTGTAAAAAATCGCGGCTGTAATCGATGTATTGCCAACTATCGCTATTTGTCTTGTAACGCGGCATAGTAGCTATTTTTTTTGTATAATGAAATAAAAGTAATTCTTGGACACAATGCATGTATAAAACCGATACTAAGATAATATTCTTATTTTGGGTTAAGTTTGCAAGTCCTAAAGTAATAATTGCCAGTTTATCCGGCTAGCAGTGAAGCTTTGCGATAGCGCCTTGAAAATATTTTAAATTGAACCGAAAGGAGGTGAAGCAAAATGAGTTCAAACAGAGCCTGTAGCAATACCAAAAACAACAACAACTCCGTAGAATCGCCACTACATATGCAAAACCAAAGCGATGCTGCGCTCCAGCACTCTATTGGCTACGCGCGCGAATTCAGCACGCAGGCGGCGGCCTATCATCTGCTCAAAACGGAGGAGCCTCTGGTCCATCTGCACCGCACCATCGTACTGCTGAGTACCAAAATCCAACCGCACTGCTTTGCGCCGACGCACCTCGAGCTGGCCAAATTCTTTGTGGACCTGCAGGCATTGATGAGCGCTCTGGATGATGAAAGCGACGCGTTGTGGGCATGCGTGGCTCTGCTGCAGCACTGTAGTCGCAATCTAGAGGCACGTCGTGCCATAGTCGAGCAATATTGCTATGTGCCGGTGCTGAGCTATTTGTTGGTACGCACAACCCGGCCAGAGCGCGTCCATCGCCTAATGCTACTGCTGCAGGATCTCACATATGGCATACGCATTGCCTGGGAGGAACCGTATCTGGTGGTGCTGCTCGAGCACCTAGTAGACATTGTGCACAACACGGAGTGCGACGCTAGCGAGACGGCATCGCCGCAGGACGATAGCTCACACGCACTCCTCGCGCTCTCCATCCTCGTTAATTTGTGCTATAAGAATTTTGTGGTTCTGTTTCTCTTTCTGCGCCGTGTGAACATCTCAAGCTTCAGTCGACGCATTCAACATTATGGCCTGCTGGCTAACAAGATGCTTATCATTCTCTCTCAGGATGTGCACCCCTTCGAGGAGCGTGAGCTGCACATATTCCTTCGCACATCTTTCGCAGCGATCGACGAATGCCTTAAGCAGTGGAACGTTCCTCAGTTGAGTCACATTGTGGACTTTCTGCTCGATTCCCAGTGTCATCCCCGACTGCAACGTGCGATGCTCACGCACACTCACTATTGTGAGGACATCGAGCGGTTGCTGGATGTGAGTATTACAAAATGTATCCCATATATGTGCAAACCACAATTTGTTTCCTGCAGCAAATCGACGCGCGTAGCGGCATGGACGACTCCAGTGAGGATATGCGCAAGCATCAGCAACTCTGCATGGATCTCATCTTCCGGCTGGTCAGCCACGTGTTGCAACTCAGTACTAAAGACAACAGCAACATTATTAGCCTGGACGCCATCACGCCACGTCTCTATGAGCTACTCTGCTGCTGGATGGAATCGGAGCATTGTGGTGTGGCCGCCATCGAATTGCTGTCCATACTATTGCGTGTGGGCAGGCGCGGTATCATTTCCCAGCTCATAGCCCGAGAACCCACAACAGTGATCAAGTTGGTGGCCAGTACCAAGCTAGCAGACACAAAGCCCGATCACGTGATGGCCATACTGCGCCTGTTGCTGACACTGCTGCGTGAATCCAAGACCGAGAAACTAGTACTGGCCGAGATATCCGAATCGTATTTTGATAATATACTGGCCGCACCGCTGGCTCTGAAGCCGGAGCTACTCAGCAAGCACGCCATTGCTCAGTCCGAGATAGACAAGGCAATTTTCTGCCTGCTGCTGCTCATCAATTTTGCCAACATTGCCAAGAAGGCGTATTTCGACAAGTGCCGTGAGCTCCTCGACAAACCGCAGCTCCAGTACGCGATGGCTCGTGCCATGGTCTCCGGAACTGAACAAGTGGCCTCAGCTGTATTTAAAATTGCACAATTCGAGCACTTTCCCAGGGCAGCCGTGGCTAAGGTAGGTGCTCCAGGCTAAAATTCTATTTTCTCCCATGCTCACACTTCTCTTAAACTTGTCACACAGCATGTCGCCAACATTAGCGCCAGCGGCAATAGCAATGGTGAAACACCTTCTAGCACCAACGCGGATGCCGAGCAGTGGCGGAACCTAAATGCCATTTTAAAGAGTCATCGAACTTTAGTGGACAAGGAGCTAACCCAGCGTGTTAATGGTCTCATTGACAGCATTAACAGCACGCTGCAGAATCACGAGCTGCACAATGCCCCTGTCTCACAGGTCATTGAGCTGTACAACCATCGCATCAGCAGCCTAAACTGTGCCATGTCGAATATGCAGCAGCGCCTGGAGCAGGCCAGTGCCCAAATCACAAGAACCACTCAACTAAATAATATGCAGAATGCAGAGTTGGAGCTTTTTCAGAGTAAAAACTTTGAGCTACTGATCAGCCAGGAGCGGTAAGTAGCCCAGAAGCAGCGAAAGATTTTTATCCAAATAACTTTCGAGGCTATCCACAAGTTATTGCTGTTTTATTGTTCTTAATTATACGTACTGTTCGCAAAGAAAAACCTGCACTTACATTCATTTCCTTTGTTTTAACGTTAAGCATGCCTTCACAATGAAATGCTTAATAACTGTGGCAAGCATCCGGCCATCCACTGGAATCGCACATAAGCAGCTCAAAATTGCAATTTTGAAATATACAGACATTTGTAACTATTGAAATGTAATTTGGCGACTGTTCTATTTAATATTGATGGCCCGAAACCGAGTCGCCTGAAACCATAAATCTTTAAAAATAACATAAAATCGCCGTAAAAAATCTAAAGTTCATATATCATTAGATAAATACAATTGTTATTGTATGTACGATTTTGTTATACAGCCAGCCATTAATTTACAATTTGTTTTATATATTCTTAGCAAGTATAAAACTGAGCCAAAGCATGCAATTTTGAATCTTAAAGCAGAGTATAAATTTCCCAGCCGAAGATTCAATCCAGTCTACTATGTTTCACATAAATAATATCTTAATGCATTTTCAAGAGCTTATAGAGTATTCAGAAATGTCTTTAACTGCTTAATACATTTGTGTCTATATTTCTTTCTTAAAATTATAAGACTTCAATCACAGTGCAAAGATCTGAAACAACAGACTGACAAACTCAAGTCTAACATGAGCAATTTAATCAAAGACTTTTCGGAGAGCTCCGAGCAATTGCAAGTCAAGGAGCGCCGACTGGCTGTGGCTGCATCCGAAATACTAGGTAACAAATGCACAGATATAGCTCTATAACCTGTATGGACTATCATTTCACAACCGCATACTTGCAGATTACCAGAAAAGGTGTGAAGAGTTGCGCAGCAGCTTGAGCGCAAAAACTGAAGAGGTGGCCAAACTGGAGACACACAACAAAGAGAACGTAAGTCTTATGCCTACGGAATAACTAGTATCGCTCTTAACTTAAAGCATTTCCGGTCTATATCATACCACAGCTCACACGCATCGAGAAACTTAAGAAAACTGTCAATGCATACGAGCACGATATCAAAGAGAAGGTTCGCACCATTGAAGAGCGCGAGCGAGATCTTGCCAAGACCCAAAAAGGTCTGGAAGAACAGCGTGAGGCGCGTAAGAAATCCGAGGACTTAGTTAGTGTCCTTGAGAAACAGCTGCAAGAGCGGAAGGAGCAAATCGAGAATCTCGAAATGGAGCAGAAAGAGACCGAGGACTTGCGCAAGACCATCATGAGTCTTATGGAGAGCAAAAAGCCGAAGCGAAAGTAGACCCACTTTTTTTTTTCTTTTCTAATTAAGACATTTTTAAGACACATAAAATGGTTTTAACTCATTCATTCATATAGGCCCCGTTAATGAAAAATTGATTCATTTGTGTTTATTTACATTTTATTGCATTCCGCATTAACAAACATTACAATATTTATTATGCAATTTATTTCGTGTCGCGCTTTAAAATTCCATTACAAAAACCAATTTAACCAAAAACGAAAAAATACGATGTAAAAAAATATATGTTAAATATAATTTACAAATATTGCAATGAGTTCAATACACATGGCTGTGTGTGTGTGATTACGCGCGTGTGTGTGTGTGTTGTTTGATGTATAATTTTTGTGTGCTTTTCATTTTATGATTTACATATAGTTCGTGCATACATACATACGGGTATGTATGTATATATGATCGTATAAATTTACTAAAAGTTCGCTATATACTCATTTATCATTTATATTTTATGCATTTTACTTTACGCTTAAATATCTAACACCAACTTCTGCTCAACTCTTTGCCTAAGCTATTAAGGGGGAGGACTAACAAAATTAAAGCAGAGGAACAGCTTGTTGAAGGAAGTATGTAGGTTGGTATGTAATCAAAAAACAAATCACAAATTATGCAACAAATAATATGCCACACTTGTCGGGGAAAGCAAAAGGCCATATCTATATACACGTACATATATATGTAAGTGTATCAATTTGTAATTATATATGTACAGTGCACTGCGGAAAAGATAAGAACGAAACTAAAAAGCTGAATTGAAAGCTGCAGGGATAAGAATAGTTGCCAGCACCAAATGTTCACAACAAATAGCAACCAGAACTACATACAATATATAAATATGTACATATATGCATATATATATATATATATATATATATATATATATATACATATGTACATATAGAAGTATATAGGTGTGTATATTTGTATTGATCGTAAACGCTTAGAGCAGGCCTCCAGATCTAGCAATGCGCTGTAGAAAAAGGAGTTGAGGGGGCGTGGCATGATTGAAATGATTGCAAAAAGCTCTGACTGATTGCCCTGCAAGAACAACTACTGCACTGGAAAGGGAGCGCTCAGAACGCCTTCACCTTTTTTTAGGAGCCGAAATGCTCCTTCTCCTGATCGATTGGACCGAACTCGTAGCTGCCACGTCCATCAAATTGCAAATAGTAGTCGTGGTGCACCCACAACGATTTGCGATGCGAGACTGTGAAAAGCGTAATGCCAGCCTCACGGCAATAGCTATACATCTTGCCCTCCACATCCACGGACACTGCGCTCGTGCACTCATCTAGAATGGCGAACTGCGGACTGTGGTAGAAGAGACGGGCCATGGCAATGCGTTGTTTCTCGCCGCCGGACAAAACGTCGATCCAATCCTCAATGGCATCTAGACCATTCTCGCGCTGCTCCAAATAGGTAAGTTGCACAATGTCTAGATAGTGCATGAGATCCTCATCGGATTTTCCCAGGCGACGCATGTCATCGCGTGTATGGGGATAGATAATCTAAGTAATAGAAAGACATTGTTAGCTCGGTCAGATGCAAAATATCGTTCCTGATAGTTACCTGGTCGCGCAAGGTGCCCAGCGTCATGTACGGACGTTGGGGTATGTAGAAGAGCTTGCCGCGCGACGGCTTCGTCACCTTGCCACCCCACGTGGGCCACAACTCGCCCAGTATACGGAACAATGAGGATTTGCCACAACCATTGGGCCCACAGACCAAAACATTCATGCCCGATCTGTTATAGAATGGAGATGGAAACATGAAAAGCGAACCCGCATCGTCATGCTGAAGCTACTTACTTCACTTCAAAGGTAAGTTCATTGAGCAGCACATCGCCATTGGGCGTGACCAAGGGAACTTGCTCAAACTTGATGATGTTGTCAGTGAAACACATGATACCCTTGTTTGGTCCAAAATTATTCACCCCATCGCCTCCCGCACTGCCGTTTAACGTTATGCTATTACCATTTACCATGGTGCGCTCGTAGGTGCCCTTATTGAGATCACTCAGCACCTTGATGAGCTCCGTCATACGAGCCGTGAAGCCAGCGAGGCGCGACATTTCGCGTCCGGCCAGCACCAAACGACCGATCGCCTCGGCCAGCTTGACCAGCATCCGACCGTAGGTGTAGTAGGCCTGCAGACGCTGACCGCTGTGCTCGCCAGACAACAGCGGATGGTTTTCGGCGAAGAAGGGAATAGACACGGCGTAGAAGCCCACAATGGAAGCAAAATCTGCAATGAAGAACATCCAGTTTAAATTCGTCAGTACATAGCCCGTTTAAAGGCAACTCTCAAAGCAAAGAGTAGTATCTATCGGTTGGCCTCCAGTTCGTCGGTTTCGCGCGAACACCCAATACTACATACTTACTAAAGGGTATTGCTTGCCTACTCCTTTCGTTATGTTTATCAAAAACAGATAGAAAGGCTCTATATTCTCACATGTCTCCAACTGTTTCCGTGGTGTAGCGGTTATCACATCTGCCTAACACGCAGAAGGCCCCCGGTTCGATCCCGGGCGGAAACACATGGGATGATTTCTTTTACTACTACTTCCTATATAGATATATATTATCCATTTTCTAATAAAGCCGTGCGCTTAAGTAGGCACTTATTTATTTATGTCGTTTTCCCTGAATTTAAGATTTGATTAGAAATGGGAATATCAATAATTTTAATTTTATTCTAAAAACAATATGTTTTCAGCTTACTCTGAAACTTATATCTGCCAAATCTATGAGAAGTTAGTGCTGTTGAATCGAACCATTACTCTAAAAAAAAATCTGTTCAACTGTAAATATCTTCAGACAAATAATACTCTCTATAGCAAATGAATAACAATATGTTCACAGTATATAAAAAACCTCTGACTAATTCCCAAAAATAGCTCATTCTATAAATAGAAATATTGGGAAACGGGTGAAGCCCAATAATAATAATAATTTGTAAATGATATAATAAAACAATGGAAGTCTTTTCACTTCTATTATCCGTTTTAAGAAAAGTGTGTTACATAATTGTGGAGACGAGAAGATAAACGAGAAGAAATAATTCTGTGTACTCCTCACAGAATTTGTTTCTTATACTCTCGTATTAATTTCTAATAAAAATTTGTATTCTTTATTGAAAATAACGTGCGATTTGGATCATGGGAACCCTTAAACTCTGTCGGATCATAAATACTCTTCCCTTTCTTCATAAATAGTTGCATGAACGTATAGTTTAAATGGAATATGTGGTTTGTCTGTCTTTGATTCCCCTTTCTCCATCAATCCGTTGGGCTGCCCAGATTGGCTGCTATTGAAATGATAAGTCGGGGTTCCCTGCCTGAACACATATTTCTGGCTGGTAATCAAAGCAATATTTAAATTTCATATCTGTCCGTTAACCCAGACCAGATCTAGACACAGTTCGATTCGTGGGCCTATGATTAATTTTATACCTAACTATATGCTAGCGACTTACATTTGCCGATGATATTGTCAATGATACCCATGCTGACGCGGAACTCAAGGAACTTGCGCAAATGTGAACGGAGCTTGGAGTAGCTGGCCAACAGCGTCATTTTTTCGCGAACATTGCCCTGATAGAAGGCAACCTCCTCGGAGTTGGTGATGAGGCGACTATTCACGTAGCGGAATTCGCCCTCCAGCTTCTGCTCCTCAACCGTCAGACGGCCTGTGGGTCGACGTAGTCGAGTCAAAAAGACGCCCGCAAACAGCAAGTAGAGCATCAGTATGGAAGGTGTTTTGCCGCCCAGATTGACCGTCAGGCGATAGACATAAATGAAAATATCTAGTACAGGCTTACTAATATTGGAATACAGATCTGTGGCGCTTTCGCAAAATTTGTCAATGTCCGTGGTCAGCAGTTGATCAGCGTTGGCTATTCTGTTATCCAGATTGGACATTTTGTAATATGTGTAACCACTGGCGACCAGAGAAGAGACAGAGAAAGAGCAGAAAAGAGGACGTTAGCTGAACACTCGAATAGTTCTGATGATCATTAACTCACTTCAGGTATTGACTGTACAGATGGTGGGTTAGATTTGTGCGAAAACGTAGCTTCAGCTCGCCCAGACTCCATTTCAAGATATTCGTGACCACTGAAATCTGTAAACATATAGAGCTTGCATTAGTTTTTGTTGCATTTGACAAATATAGATATATATTTACCGCTGGAAGAGCCGCCAAATATTTAAGCAAGGCTGTCTTAAACTTGGACTTGTTCATATGTATAATGGTGCTTTCAACAACAGTGGCATTCTGTATCATCCAAATATCGCTGACGGAACGTCCGATGAGTGCACCAGCTATAAGCAGCAGAAGGCCCGTCTCAACGCTCCAAAAGCTGGGTATTAGAATGGCTTTAAAAAAAAAAAATAGGAAAAAAGGAAAACGTTAAAGAACGACGTTTAAACGATTTTGGTCGAGCATGGAATACAATTCCCAAGTATCCTCTAAAAGTTTAATTAGAAATCTAAACTCTTCTAGAATCAATAGCGTACTCCCGTACCACTCTTTAAAATGTGACTGCAATACTTACGCAATAGCTTTCGCAATTGTTTGAAGAATAACGAGTTGACATGCGCCTTGCTCGCCTTTTTGTCCTTTTTCTCGGCAATTGTGTATTGGATTTTGTCCTCATAGCCTGGTTTTCTGCAATAGTTGTAATAATTAGTATTGGTATTAATAAATAAATAAACAAAAAAAAAAATTATAATAAAAACATACTAAATCTTAATGACTATAGATAATTCGAAAAGTCATCGATCAAGTCTTCGAACCGTACTGTACTTGGCGTTTATCTTGGCCTCAAGGGGAGAACGAAAAAGAAAGAAGTAGAAATCTGCAGTTTTATTTCCCCTCATATACTTATTGACTATACTATATTGCGTCTAGACATTGGCATGTATTTTATTTTTACCTTGATAAACATTCCGGCATTAATAACCTAAATGCGGATGCATTTTTGCCATTGCACAGTCCAGTCAGATGTCCAGTCAAAGTACAAAGCTTAGGGTCTTATCTGAACCAATGGCGTTTCCATCGGGTTCGACGTCGGTATTGTTGGCCACCATTGAAAGATGCTAATTGGCCGTGACTTGCGTAATGCTTAATTTCTATCAAAACGGTCTCCCCTTCTGTCCGTGTGGCGTTCTCTTTTGTATTGTTAGGCAAGCAAGCTCCCAATGTTGCTGTTTGAGCATTTCTAATTCTTTCATTGTTTGTCTTGTTTGTCGCTACGAATGTGAAACATGTGTTCGCGTCCATAGGTCAATCGCATCAATATCAAGTAACGAAGTAGACGCGCCAGCGCCGACGCGTTTAGATTACATTTGTCTATGGTTGGCGAAATCAAAGGTCTCTCACATCTCGATTCACTTCAACCGCTATATAGCGCTGGACTAGATCATCCAGACTGATAAATATTCAATTATATATAAGTGCATTACAAATAATGTCTTATCGGCAATCCACACGGTCTGCATACACGATAACTATGTACATGTACATACTTAGATGTATAAATGTTGGGCTCATTGAACCCACAATATTAACATACTACCCACCGCTGATTCATCACTATAAAAATCGTGAGGGGAAACTATTTGATTTCGAGTGAGGAAGACAAAAGCTTGGGCATCTACTGTATCTGCCAATGTTTTGTTTTGACTTGACAATTCGACATTATCACTTATCAGAGTTGGGGATCATCACATGCGCATTTTAGTATTTACATTATAGAGTACAAACAAATTCCATATTGTCAACACAAATGGCCTGAATCGTCAAATTTGTACTTTGCCCACCACTTCTTTGCTTCAATATTTAGATGCTTAACTTTTATGTTTACCAAAGAATTCAAACATTCATAATAAAAATGTATAAATAATCAGCATGATGAGTCAAATTTATATCGCGGTGTCCGTCTGTCTATCTTAATCACTACCCCACCCACAGTTTAGGACCTATTGATTGAAACTTTGCACCGAGGCTTTTTTCTTGATGGACACAGATAATATTTGGCACATGTGTGAGCGACCAATCAGATCACTATATCATATATGTGGTGTCATAAAAACTATGTTATTTACTGAAACTGTTATATTGAGAATACTATCGTTATTCCTAGTGGTTGGGATTAATTCCGGGTCGCGGTAGGTTGCCCCGAATGTCCAAATGTAAAAAAAGGAAAGAAATTATACTACGAGCATAGCAATATTTATTGTTCGCGGCCCATGAGGAATAAAATTCAGTTCAGAAAAAAAGGCACAAACATATAGTATGTAGACATGCTATATGATTTATCTCCTCGTGTTGAGTGAAATATATATCAAAGTTGAGTAGCGTATATGACTTAAGTATTTATATTCTATTTGAAGAAAACTTTGTATACTTCAACTACGAGTACAAGTTCGAACAGTTTGTTTTTCCCATGAATATTTACAAATTGTTGAAATGTACATTTTTAGAACTGAACACAAAAGTCGTATTCGTAACCCCGAACACCCCTGTTCACAGATGATGGTTAATAAATTAACCTATTATATCTATAACAATATTTAAATCAGTTGAGTGCAGATAGCAACCCACTCATAGCTCGAACCATTTGCTCATGACCATAGGTACGGCTAACAAGCACCATACATAGGTGCCAAATTATATTTCTAATGTTTGATGCTGCGGCTGTGAGTTGGTGATAGTTCTCCAAATCTTTCTGACTGGTTTAGTAAGACTGAGACAACTGTCTGGCTGCTTCACCGTCTGAACATTTCTTGTTGAGAAACAGCGCGGTTTTTATGGCTGTTGAATTTTTTCTATTTTGCTCTTTCGACTTTTGTTTTTCCTGTCTCCACCAATTCGTTGATTAACAAAGCGCAGGAAAGAAGAAAAAAAAAAAAACACATAAAAAAGACTACGTCAGATATTGTTGCCGGCATTTCTTCAAGACACAACTAATATGGGCGCTGGCTAACATGCGAAATTGTTATTACTTCTATGAGTTTGTATGTGTATTTGAATATGCTCGTAAGTATGAGGAAATAATTTATGTATTGGCATGCCGCATGTATAATTTGTTTATGAATCTGTTTAAATAACAAAAAAAAAAGAAGAAGCACAAGCGTCGTTTTTTCTTTTGCTTTTTATTTTTGGGTGCAAAGTTCAGTGAATAAGTTTAACTGATTTAGTTTTGATTGTTGTTTCTGTTTGTTGTGTGTGTGTGTGTGTTGTTGATATTATTATAATGGCTGTGTCATTGTGTATGCTTTGCTTTTATCGCCATGAAAGCATCATCTTTCCACCGTAGTCTTCGTCCGTTGCCGTATCTATTTGTCTATTATCACTGATAAAAGGCAGTCGCATTCATTATCTACATGCTTGCAAAAAGTTTACGTGGCTTTATGGTCGGACTTGGCTGCTCGGCTGCTTGAATGGTTGGGTGCCTGACTGCTGTTCAAATGTGAACAAAGCGATCAGGCGTCATTCCGATACTCTGGCAGCACATTGTTATCGATGCCGTCTAATCGATAAGTGGCTGAGTTCAAAAGTCCATTGCGTGGGTAGTGGGGGCTAAGCTAACATTTTTTTAGTTGCTAGGGCCAAATCCAAGCGATTTGTTAATGCACTCAAATGAGTCGGCAAGCTGGCAATTTCACGCCTTAATCCCAACAAGAGGGGGTTGACTTGGCGATGGTGTCGGCTCGGCACTTTAAATTATTCAAATTGTAAACTTCATTTTGATTTTATGCATGAAAATTAGTAAATTATATATTAGAATTGGGCAATCAAGCGTCAAATGAGCACACTCACACAAGCACTGGTGTATGCACATGTCGGGCACTTAAATTCGACAATTAATACGCCAGCGATATGATTAAGATTTATCACAAAGTATACCTATACCAATATTAAATTGACGCGTGGAGTTAAATTCGATTAGCAATAAGTACTTATATTTATATGATAGTCATATTAATGATGTTCTCAAAAGCGTAAATTAAGCATACAAAAAAGGTTAATGCGAATATCATTTACGTTTGCGCTATGTGCCTAAAAAGGTGTGACAGACCTTATGAAATACGGATTAGTTAGTCGTTTACAAAGGTTAAGGTTCAGATAAGCTTTATAGCCACAAATCTAATTTGAACATAGTATTCCATTTAAAAGAAAACACCTATATTTTGTGATTGTGGAACAATTAGAATTTAATTCTTAATGTTTACAAGTTATTAAATTTGTTCGTTTCTTCTGAATAATTCATCCTCTTATGAATAAACGGAGAAACTTCGCGTTATAAAGTTTTGTTTTTTTACAAGAATCAGTGAAATGTGGAATGTCAAAACAATGCAAAAGGCCACTCTAACAAATTTATAAGAAAACAAGTAAAAAAGCTAAAGTCGGGTGTCACGACTTTGAAATACTCTGTACATATGTTTACAATAATTATAGAAAATAAAAAAATTAAGAAAATTAACAAAAACAAAATTTGATCGATTTTACCTTTCTCGGTATTCGAACACACGTAAAGGGTGTATAATTGCACATTTACATAGCAATTACGTCTGTGTGAGTGTATGTATACCTATGCGCGTCTATTCGTGTCTGTGTAAACATGTGTGCAGTCAACCAAAGCACCAGCATCAACAACAGCCGCGGGCAGCGCTGCAGCAGCAAATATATTTATGGCTATAACTTCTTGTTAAATCGGTCTATCATAGTGAATCTTGGCACACGGACACATAATAACCAACTGAAGGTATTTCTAAAATTTCAAGAATTACGGGAGTTAGAGAAAATCGCGATTTGCGGAGGAGAGGGGGGAGGGAGGGAAATTCCCAAAAAATACATTTTCTGCGTATTCACATAAGGCATCTGGGACTGAAATTTGGTGTTCCTAGGTCTTATAGTCTCCGAGATATAGGTTATTATACGAATGGAAAATCGGGAAAACCCCTATAGGGGGGAAGTAGGGGGGAAATTAAAAAAAAATAAAACAAACTCGTATAGAATACACACATAAGGCATCTTTGTGCAAAATTTTGTGTCTCTATCTCTTATAGTCTCTGAGATCCAGGTGTTCATTCGGACGGACAGACAAACAGACAGGGCTAGATCGACTCGTCTTGTCACGCTGATCAAGAATATATATACTTTGTGGGGTCTGCCACGCCTCCTTCTGCCTGTTACATTTCTCAGCTCCCGCAAACCTAATATACTTCTGTACATTTCATGTACAGAGTATGATAAAGTGAATAATACTATAGCATTAAAGGCCACAAAATATTTAAACTGAAACAGTTCCATCTCATATTTTGTTTGTTTTCAATATAGCATCTATCAAAGAAGATTTATTGTCATTTAAAAAAACTATCAGGAGACCTTTCCAGAGAGATATACTATACTTGAAAGCAAAGAAATACCGCCCCACTGTTTATGGTCATGTAATTAGAGCTCAGAATATCTCTTGAATAAGGTTTACTTTTCATCAAATTAAATCGAAAAAACCCAATGGCACAAAACCATAAACTATTTCTTATAAATTACTATACCATAACTTTAAAACTCACAGAATAACGCATACATTTGGGACAGCTGGTCTAGTTTTGATTAATCATCCTGTAGAATCCTTTCAGGATTAATTCAGAAGCCATTCA